TCAAGGTACACCCGTTCCGCTGTGTGGCACTCTTGCGCAACAGACGCAGGGCCTTCTGATTCGGAGCCTACCCCGAGCGCAGGTCAAACGAATGAGAGGGGGAGGAGGAGGAGGAGGAGGAGGAGGAGGAGGAGGAGGAGGAGGAGGAGGAGGAGGAGGAGGCGTAGCAAGTCTTACCGCAAGGAACAGGGAAGCTTTTGCGGGGCGTTGGCTCTGCGAGAGCTGGCGCGCAGCACGGTCGGGCATAATGCTACAGGCGTAAGTGTGTTCCTTTTGTGCCAGCGGGCTTTTAGACTGCCATGTGCCGTCCAACTCTGCAACTTCAATGATTGCCACCTCGGCGAGGTGTTCCCTGACATCCACAGTCCGAGAAGAAATGTTTGGGAATGGATTCCGCTCCCGCGTCGGGCCCGCATGTTTCGTGGCGTCTTCGTCAGGGTTCCAATGGTATTGCATGCCTTGGCCGTCCCGAATCCTATAGGCGCCGAGGGTTTCGTGCCACTTTGAGACGGCACCGAGGGCTTCGCGGCATCAAGAGGCCGCCTGGGGCGCGAGGATGCGCTCGGCGCCGAGGGTCCCATTGCACTTTGCAGCCGCGTGAGGCTCGCAGGTGTGCTTGGTGCGAAGGGCTTCGGGGCATCTTGAGACTGCTCGAGGCCGCTTGAGGTTGCCGTCGGGAGCCACCTGGCGTGTAAGCTTGTACCGCGTATGCAGATTTTGAGACCCGTCCGACGCTCTCCTCCTCCTCCTCCTCCTCCTCCTCCGCCTCCTCCTCTCCCTCCCCCTCCTCCTCCTCCCCCTCCTCCTCCTCCTCCTCCTCCTCCTCCTCCTCCCCCTCCTCCTCCTCGCATTCTGATAGTGAACTAGGGGTCTGAGAGTCTCAGGGCGGTTCGGGCACGGAGGGGCCGCCGCCCAGGCGCGCCAAGCGCCGCAGAATGTCCATGAACGTTTTGGCCGACATCGGCTCGGCGTGCGTGCAGCGCCCGATGTGACTGCATCTTAGCTGCCCTGATGTGCCCGTTTTGAAACGCAACGCGTACCGTGCTCAAAACGTCCGTGCCACGCGCTGCGTCTTGGCTCAACATGTTGGCCCACGCCTTGGCGAACGTGTCGCGCCAGACGTACGTTTTCAATATCCGTGCTGAGCTCCGTGTCACCACGCTACGTGTTGCGTGTTGCGTATCGGGGCAGCTCAGGGCTTCATGGGTCTGTCCTTGATATGATGCGCACGCAAATGCCACCTCCCGAAAAGGGCACACGTCCGTGTCCAACTTTGTTTCGCAGGCTGTATCCTGCCGTTGCAGGTCTCTGCTCACACGTGAACGAATTCGAATGTTGCTGGATGCTGCGGAAGGGGTGACAACAAAACGCTTCTGACATACGTCCTTTGTCCGGCACCGAGAGACCATGTCCGGCAACTTGGTGGGTTTTAAGCGCGCTGCTCCTTCCGGGCGGCGACCAAAGCAGAGTTCGTCTTATCGGTTGCCTTCAGTCTTGTGCGATTCGGTGGCGTTTCCCTGTGCTTCCCTGCAGCTGCCATCTTCTCGGCCGCGTCCAGAGCCATCCTTCCACCCTAGCTCAGGCCCCTATAGACGTGGCCCCACACTCGACAGAACAGGCCCCCCATCCCGCAGAGGTGCGTTGCATGCGCCTTGTCCATCCTCCCCCCCGCCTCCCTCAGACCTGTGCACTCCTTCTTTCTCATTCCCGTCCCTCAACGCAGAGGGCCATGGATTCAGTGAAGCCGCTTGTGCCCTTTCATATCCCTGACGCGATTGATCAGGTGTTCTCTAAGAGGCCGCAAGTCTTGAAGGACAGTCCGCCGCTGCCCATCGTGTCGGTCGCGTGCCTCCCAATGTTAGCAAAGGGGGGGGGGGGGCGGATGAGGAGGAGAAGGGTGAGCTATTGCCACCATGGAAGAGTGTTCCATTACTCGACTGGCCTGCTCTCATTCCTAACATGCCCTCATTCCTGACATCCTAACAGGCTCTGCACGCGCACACTACCGACATCCAACCATTCTGCTCATGTCACGTATGGCGTACATGTTTTTGCTCCGCGCTTTAGGTCGTGCCGCCGTCGGCGTGTCAGAAAGCTGCGTCAAAGGAAGAATGGGCGTTGATGACCAGAGCCACGAGTACCTCGTACGTCCCAGCAGGTCTGCCTTGGTCATATCCAGCTGCCTGCGGCAAGTCCCGGCACCGTGCCAGCCCAGCATTCTCGGTGGCGATTGTTCGAGGGGGCACGGGAGACCGTCACGTGGGACAATTCGTGTCTCCAGGCTTTGGAGAGCCGTGATAATGGTGATGGTGATGATGGTGATGATGATGATGGTGATGATGATGGTGATGATGGTGATGGTGATGGTGATGATGGCGATGATGGTGATGGTGATGGTGATGGTGATGGTGATGGTGATGGTGATGGTGATGGTGATGGTGATGGTGATGGTGATGATGCTGATGAGGATGACGGCGATGATGATGATGATGATGATGATGATGATGATGATGATGATGATGATGGTGATGGTGATGTTGTGATGATGATGAAATGACGATTGTGATGATGTTGATGATGATGATGATGATGATGATGGTAGAGGTGGCGGTAGAGATGGTGGTGATGATGACGACGACGGCGATGACGTTTGGTATGGTGATTTGATGGCGATGGTGGTGATGATGATGACGATGACGATGATGATGATGCTGCTGATGATGATGATGAGGGTGATGGTGATGATGATGCTGTTGGTGATGGTTATGATGGTGATAATGCTGATGGTGATGAGGATGAATATGATGAGGATCATGATGACGATGATGATGATGATGATGATGATGGTGGTGGTGGTGGTGATCAGGATGACCTCGACGATGCTGATGATGATGAGGAGGATGGTGGTGGTGATGATAATGAGAATGATGATGATGATGATGATGATGATGATAATGATGATGATGATGATGGTGATGGTTATGGTAATGGTGATATTGATGATGGTGGTGGTGGTGATAATGATGCTGATGATGATGCTGGTGATGATGATGAGGAGAAAGAGGAGGACGATAATGATGATACTGCTACTGCTGCCGCTGCTGCTTCTGCTGCTGCTGATGATGATGGTGATGATGATGATGGTGATGGTGATGGTGACGGTGATGATGATGATGATGATGATGATGATGATGATGATGATGATGGTGGTGGTGGTGGTGGTGGTGGTGATGGTGATGATGTTGTTGCTGATGCTGATGATGTTGATGATGATGGTGGTGGTTGGTGGTTCATCATTGGTGATGTATGATGGTGATGATGAAACTCGTTTGTGCCGTCTTGGGACTGTCTTAACCTCCTGCGGGGCAGTCTTGGGGATCCGTTGGGGCTCTGTTGGGCCGTCTTGGGGCCCTCGTTCGCCGGTCTGGGGCTTTCTTGGACCCTCCTGGGGTCTCTCTTAGCCGTATGGTGGGTGTCTGGGGGCCGTTGTGGGGCCGTCTTGGGCTGTCGAAGGGCTTTCTGAGGCCGTCTTGGGCCCCACGGGAAGATCTCTTGTGCCGTCTTGGGTGCCTCTTGGGCCGGCGGCGCTGCAATGCAGAGGCTGTGCCGCATCGCGTCGCCCGCCTCGCCCGTCCCGAGAGGGAGAGGGAGAGAGAGTTAGGGAGAGAGAGAGAGAGAGAGAGACAAACAGAGAGCGAGAGATAGACAGAGAGAGCGAGAGAGCGTCTTCGCATGTTGCCGACAGGCTACGGTCAGGAACTCTAGCTTAGCGTGCCGCGTCGCCGATTCTGGCCCACCGCGCTTCGGCGCGACACGCTGTCCACGTTCCGGTCCCCGAAGCGTCGACGTCGCGAGCCTTGCCCAGCCTCTCGCCGTGCGGAGCGGAGCGAAACGCTGTCCGCTCGCATGTCATCGCGTGTCGCCGGGACCGCCGCCGCGACACGCTAAGCAACAGTTCTTGGCCGTCGCCCGCCCCGGGGGAGATCCTTCTTCGGGGGGGAGGCGGGGGGAGGCGGGTGGAGGAGAGGGGGCGAGCGGAAGGGTGGGCGAGCGTTTTCGCAGATTGCCGACAAGCTGGCCCACCCCGAGGGAGATCCATCTTCGGGACGGGGGGGGGACGGGCGCAGGCGAAGAGGCAGGCATGGGGGGGGGGAAGATCAGCCGCGATGGGCAGGGGATGGGGGGGGGGAGAGGGAGGGGGAGGGGTTGGTTGGAGAGTGGCTGGGGGAGGGGGGGGAGAGGGACGGGGGGAGGGGAGGGGCGGGAGGGGGAGAGGGAGGGGTGGGGTTGGAGAGGGGCTGGGGACGGGGAGGGGCCCAAGGACCCCAACTCCAGGGAGCGCCTGGTGGACATCTGCCAGCGCCACCGGTGGATGAGCGTCCAGGAGGAGCGCGCCCCTGCCCCCGGCGCGCCTTGCGCTGCCACATTGCCCCCTTCGCTCCCTCCTCCTCGTGCTCCCCGCGGTCCTGCTCCACCCCCCCTCCACCGGCATCTCCTTCCTCCCCCACCCGTGTGGAAGCGCAAGGGGTCCGACGTGCGGACAGAGCTTCGCTTGAGCGGGCCTCTATACTCGATCCACGTTCGCGGGCAGAGGGGAGAGAAGCCTGCGTCAATATCGTGCCCCAGGCACTGCTGCTAGAACCAATCTGCCACTCCTTGCCTCAGCGAGCCTTCAATGAGAAAGAGGTGGACGGGCGAGCACACTGAGGAGGTGCATTTCGCCCCCCCCACCACCCCCACACTGCCTTCAGTTCACAGTCATCCCCCAGAAGGCGTCGCACTCCCACTGTGCCCCATGCATTGCTGCCCTCTCACAAGAAAAGGGTGAAGGGAGGAGGAGGAGGAGGAGGAGGAGGAGGAGGAGGCGGAGGAGGAGGAGGGGAGGAGGAGGAGGAGGAGGAGGAGGAGGGAGGAGGAGGGAGGAGGCGGAGGGGGAAAGGGGAGGGACGGGAAGGATGGGGAAGAAGGGGAGGAGGGGGAGAGGGAACAGGGAAGCAAGGGACGGCTCTCGGCTCGTCTGTATCCATCTGACGTTCGCCTCCCGGCCGCCACCATCGCCCTTCCCCCCCCCTCCACGGCTCTCACCTCTGGGGCTCACTGCTGCTATGCGCCGCAGGGTGCAGAGTGCGGGCCTCTCCTGCCGTCCACTCTTGGCTCCGCCGCCGCGCGCCCCGCCCCCGAGGTGACCGAGGCTTTCGCTCGCCTGCCGGGGCTGGACGTGGCTGCTGTTCCGACCGAGGCGCGCCGTGCCGGGGCACGCTTTTGAGCAGAACGGGCGGTGCGTAGCGTGCGCGGTCGCTGTTCGGAGGAGGAACCTCCTCTCCATCCTCCCTCCCCTCCTCCGCCTCCTCCTCCTCCTCCTCCTCCTCCTCCTCCTCCTCCTCCTCCTCCTCCTCCTCCCCCTTCCTTCTCCTCCTTCTCCTCGTCTCCTCCTCCTCATCCTCCTCCTCTCCTCCTCCTCCTCCTCCTCCTCCTCCTCCTCCTCCCCCTCCTCCTCCGTAGCCATTTTGGCTCAAGATGACGACCTGGGGGACTGTCCAGCCTCCAGGCCGCAGGGAGACCTCTGGACCGAGGACGGCCTTCAGACGGGCGTCGGGCGCGCGCGCGGCACCGCAGCAGTCAGGGGGCTTGGCGGCAGCGGACGCGGGGCGGGCAGCGCCTAGACGGGGGCTCCGCATGGCCAGAGGGCTCCATGGAGGAACGGGAGGAGCGGCAGCGGCAGCCGTCCTCCTCGCAGCAGCTATGTGGTGTGTGACGAGTGCAGCAGGTGGCGCTATTGCAGGGACATCACCAGCAAGGAGGACACGTGCATTTGCGGAGCCAGCTTCGCCCACCTCGTGCCAGAGGACCACATATTCAAGGACGACGAAGGCAGCAGGCCCAACCCCCCTTGGGGAGGAGCAGGAGGCAATGGCGCGCCGAGGGTCTCGTGGGCGGACAGATGGCAGCCAGGAGGAGCAGGCAAAAGGCGAGGTGACCAGCAGCAGCAGTGCTTCCCAGTCACCCTCCAGACAGCCGCAGCCACAGCGTACAACAAGCTCTCCAAGGACGACCCCCTCCGTGCCCACTATGAGACACTCTGGCCAGAACTGGTAGCAGCTCAGCAAGCAGCAGCACCACCACCACCAGTCGGACCCAAGGCGGTGGAAACAGCAGCCAGACGACTGGACAAGTTCCAGAAGCGGTTACGAGCAGCAGGAGAAGCGGTCGAGTGTGCCAAGCAGCATCTGGCAGTGAACGCAAGCTGCATGAGGCAACTGAACAGGCAATTGCAGCAGAGGAGGAGTTCGACACGCTCAAGGCCCAAGTTGGCAAGCCAGAGCCAACTGCTGCAGGCGCAGCACCAGCCGACAAGCCCGTCCTGACCGCCCTCCTGGAACAGTTCGAGAAGGAGCCCGACGACTTCCACAAGTGGGCAGAGCCAGAGAAAGAAGCATAGCGTGCAGCGAAGGCGAAGGGCGAGGCCATGGCCAACAAGGTCAGGGAGCACGAGGCGGAGACGGCAAAGCACTTGCAGTACCTGGCGGAGGAGGCGGCCTAGCACCAGGAGCAGTTGCGGCAGATCGAAAAGGCCCGCCCCGAACGCCAACCATAATCAGCAGCAGACCAGGCAGATTGCTGAAAGGGCCCGCCAGAAAAGAAGCCCTGCCCGAGCCCAGCACCGCAGCGAGAGTCAGCAGGGAAGGCAGCGGGTGCAGGAGCAGCAGCAGCGACCATGCCCATCGGCACCGCGGAGGCAGGGGCCACGGGTGAAGCAGCCAAACCAGACACTGGTGCGGGCAACAAAGACGAAGATGCCGAGCCCGAGTGGATGCACACATCCAGCAGGCAAGGGACAAGGTCGCCCAGGCCAAGCCCGTTGAGGTCTCAGTCGAAGAGGTGCACAACGGCGAGCCCCCAGGGCAGTCGCAAGAAGGCGAGCAGGAAGAGGACTCGCCGCCAATTTCACGTCGACTTCTTCAACATCACCACCTGGGGGTCCGAGGCGCAAGGCTACCTCGAGGAGATCAACATCATGAAGGACAGGGGCATCATCGGCATAGAGAAGCACCCCCTGCGCCAGACAGCGCACGTCAGCTAGGCAAGAGCGGCCCTGCGCAAGAGTGGGCCACGCAGCTGCTGGACCAGAGCGCGTCCAGGAGAAGGAGAAGCTACCGGAGGAGGAACCTGCGCCCTCGCCCGCAGCACGTTGGACATCCAGGACAGGATCGCGGGCTACGACGAGCGCTACCTGAGGGAGGAGGACAGCGACATCGCGGTGGCGATCTCCAACCTCTACAAGGTGCGTTTCGCGTTGGCCTTCATCTACCCAGAGTGTGGCACAGGCCTGGCGGACAGGAAAATCGACCTGCTCTGCGACCTCCATGAGAAGATGGCAGTCCGGGGAGGCTCCTGGGCAGCCATGGGCGATTTCAACATCGCGCCGTCGGAGTTCAGCGGCAGCATCTGGCCCGGGGTGCTAAATGCGCAGGCGGCTGCAGCAGAGAACGAGGCCCCAACGTGCTTTCCAGCCGAGGGCGCAGCGCGCTGCCTAGACTACGCGCTCATCTCGACAGGCCTCGCGCCACATTTCGGCGAGTTGGAACTGCGCATCGGAGTCAGGCTCAAGCTGAACGGCAGACCCCGACAGCTCAAATGGATAGCCCTACGAAGGCCAGCGGGAATAAAGCCGCCAGTCACCATCGCGAAGATGCCCAAGTCGCGAGCAGCATGCCGCAAGGCCGCTCAAGGAGGGCAAGAAGCCATGGGAAGGCGACAGCAAGCCCTAGCGGAAGCAGGTTGCGATGACGACGAGAACGATATGGAGCCAGTGCCACAGCTGTGCTACGACAAGGAGGTGCAGCACGTCGTCCAGGATGAGCTCTGGCTGGCCACGGCAGCCGAAGTTCGAGTGCGTGCGCTGGGCGAACCCCCCACGCACTAGCAGGGCGCGGTTGTGGGCGCGCTGATCGGGGGCGACATGCTGGAGCTAGGTCGGCGGCGCGGGAATTTCGCGGGCACGCTCGAGCTCGGCCTGCGCAAGAGCGCGGGCATCCCCGAAGTCGAGCGCGGCAGGCACCTTGGGCGCAGCAGACCGCCGTACTACAAAGGCATCAGCGTCCAGGACGCGGTCTCTTCCCTCCCGCGGGCGGGAGTCGAGGGGAAGGCGCGCGCGTGGTGGGCGGCGATCGCCTCGCTAGCGCGCCGGCTCTCGCATCGCGACGCGCGAGCCTGGGGGGGGGGGGGGCGCTGGCCACGCCCTCAATCAGCAGGCCCAAACCGACGAGGACTCAGGAGGGGGAAGGGGCCCGACAGCGCCAGGGCCCAGCGCCGCCTTGTCATCGGGCCAGGCAGCTAGTGATGGAGGGGGCCCCTCACCAGCCTTGAGCCCGTCAAAGGGCACGGGGGGAAGCTTGGGGGATCGCGCTCCCACCGAGTGGGGCCAGGGCCCCCCCGTGCCGCCCCAGCGGGCAGGGCGCGCAGACAGAGGAGGAGGCGACGGCAGCACCAGCACCATGCACAGCGACATGAGCAGGCCAGAGCGAGGCGGCGACGATCGCACCCGCGGCTACCCGAAAGGTGGATCAGAGGGGATTCAGAGGGGGGCCTTTCCCCCGCCAGAAGGACGCAGCACCGTGGACATCGAATACCACCACCCCTTCGAAGACGAGGAGGACTGCACTCAGTACCACCAGCAGTGGGACTCTCACCAGGGCGCAGGAGGTAACAGCCAGGAGCAAGCGGCGGGACAAGCAGGAGGAGCAGGCCCCCAGCGCGGCGAGGCGCTAGGCCACAGCCAGCCCCAGCGCGGTGAAGGATCAGGCCACAGCAGGCCCAGCGCGGCGATGGGGTTAGGTCACAGTGGGCCCCTGCGCGGTGAGGGGTTAGACCGCAGCGGACCCCAGCGCGGCGGGGGCCTAGGCCACGGCGGACCCCAGCGCGGCAAGGGGTTAGGCCGCATAGGTCCCCAGCGTGGCGAGGGGCCAGGCCACGGCGGTCCCCAGCATAGCGAGGGGCCATCCTACAGCCAGCCCCAGCGCGGTAATGGGGCTAGGCGACAGAGGGCCCCAGCGTGGCGAGGGGCCAGGCCACAGCGACGTGGGCCAGCCCCACGGCCGCCCAGGAGGTGGGTGCTCTTCCCCCGCCAGATGGACGCAGCACCATGGACATCGAATACCGCGACCCCTTCGAAGTCGAGGATGACTGCATTGAGTACCACCAGCAGTGGGATTCCCACCAGGACGCCAGGGAAGGAAGTCCGGCGCTAGCAGCAGGACCAGCAGGAGCAGCAGTACAGCAGCCTGGCGATGGGCTAGGCCACAGCCAGCCCCAGCGCGGTGAGGGGCCAGGCCACATCGGGCCCCAGCGTGGCGAGGGGCTAGGCCACAGTGGATGCAACCAGCCCCAGCGCGGCGAGGGGTTAGGCCGCAGTGGGCCCCAACGCGGCGAGGGGTTGGGCCACAGCGACGTGGGCCAGCCCCGCGGCCGCCCAGGAAGTGGCGCAGAAGGGATGCAGACGGGGTGCCCGTCCCCCGCCAGAAGGACGCAGCACCGTGGATATCGAACACCGCGATCCCGTCGAAGACGAGGAGGACAGCTTTCAGTACCACCAGCAGTGGGACGTCCACCCGGTCGCTGGAGAAGGTAGCCTGGCGCTAGCAGCAGGACCAGCAGGAGCAGCAGCACAGCAGCCCGGCGAGGAGCCAGGCCGCAGCCAACCCCAGCGCGGCGAGGGGTTAGGCCACATCGGGCCCCAGCGTGGCGAGGGGTTAGGCCGCAGTGGACACCGCCCACCGACGAGGGACAAGCCGACAGAGCCGCCGCAAGACACGGGCCTGCCCCCGCCCTGGCCCCCCGAGGAGATCCAGCGCAGAAGGGATCGCGATGTCGAAGACTACGCGGCGATGCGACTCGATCTCCAGAGATGGGCAGCCACGTGAATGGATGACCTAGCGCGCGGCCCGACATCCCGCGAGCAGTGGATGCCCTGGTGCCTGCCCTTCCTCGAAGAAGTGATTGGCAGCGGCGGAAACGCAGGACTACTACTACAGCATATTAGAAGATGGTTCCCGCGCGCCAGCTTCAGGGACATCCTCTGGGACCAGTGCGAGTGCGCATGGCGGCAAGGTGCTCCGCGACGCCATGCCTTCCTGAGAAGCTGGCGGGCGTGGCCCCCATGGAGCGCTACGTCCTGGAGATGCAACACGGGAGGGAACTGGCAGCACTAAGAGACGCGATGCGTCGCGCAGTCGGGGAAAGAGCGCCAGGACGCAGATCAGAACCCCAGCCACCAGGGGCAGCAGCAGGAGGAGCAGCGGGTCAGCCGCGCGAGCCGGAAGAACAACCTGGACAAGAGCAGGGGGCAGAAAAACCACGGGAGACAGCACCTGAGCACGCAGATGGCACTGAAGCGAGGAGTGGCCAGATAAGTCGAAGCAAGCAGAAGGCCAGTCTCAAGCGAGGCACCTACACGCTGCATCAGGCACGAACGAGGCAACAACTTGCACTCCTACTCCAGAACCCAGACTTCATGAAGCTGCGCCCCCCAAGCGGATTGGCGCAGCGATTTTGCGTTTCTCCGAGGCAAAAGTTTTTAGATTTCCAAGTTATTCGGTTTTTCTTTGTTCCGAATTTCTTGCGTCGCCGACCCGTTCCGGTATTGGGCATTCGGCGCGCGGCTTGCGCGCAGTCCCGCTTCGACGCGTCATTCGAGCGGCGTCGCCCCTGGGCTGTTTCCGCCTTGTCTCTCTGCTACCATTTTTCTTCAAAATTCAGAATCGCGTTTTCGGGCATCGTTTCATCTCGCGGTGGCCTCTTCGGGGGTCTTGCGCGCGTCGCGGGCCGTCTGGGAGCCATCGCGAGTGTCGAGGGCCGATCGTTCGACGACTCGGAGCCCTCATGGACCGTCTCGGGCGGCTCTTGGGGCCCTCCTGCATCGCTTCGGGGCGCCTGAAAGCCGCGCCCGGGAGAGGAACCATCTCTGGCCCGACCTGGCCGGGGCATTTTGCGCCCAGGGGCCCCTCCGGGCCGCCCCGCGCGCGCGAATTAGAAATGCTGCGAGGCAGTCGCCGGAGATCTTCGCGCGCCTCTGGCCCGTGGGGCCAGCGAGTCTCCCCCGAGGAGCATGTCCGGCGCGCCGTGGGGCGCGCGACGAGCGGGCGATCCAATCTCGACGATTCCGTCTCTCCTCCTCTCCTGCTGCTGCTTCAAACTCTTTCCTTTTTCCCGCTGCTGTTGCTGGCCTTCCTGCCGCTGCTGCCGCTTCCTCCTCTTTTTTTTTTCTCTGCCGTCTCTGATGTTGCGCGGGCGCGCCTGCTTGGCACGCTGGCGCCCTGGGCAGGCCCGCGATTCTGCGCGCTTCGATTTCGCCCACGATTTCGGCAGCGCCGCCGCGATTTGGATGCGATTTCGCCCGCGATTTCGGACACGATTTTGCTCGCGACTTCGGCCACGATTTCGCGCCCCTTGCAAGGCCCCACGAAACCACCCACGATTTTGAACGCGATTTTTTCTTATTGATTTCAGTGCGAGGGAAATCGTCGTCAAAAAAGTGCGCCCCCGCGGAAGGGAAGCCAAAAAAAGTGCGTAAAATCGTGGCCAAAAAAATGCCCCAAATCGTGGTCACACGGGGAGGGGGGGCAGGGCGCCGCGGAAAGGCGTCGGGGGGGTCGGGGAGGGGGCCAGGGGCACCCCCTGGGACCCCCGCTTGGTTGGAGAGGATGCCCTCGCGGCGGGCTGCGCTGCCTCGCGCGGCGGGTTCGCGATTGCGCCGCCGCGCCCGCGGCCGGCCGTTGAGGCTTCGAAGCCGACGTTTGCCGTCAGGCCCCTCTTCTCCGCCACCGGCGCAGCCGCGCGCCGCGGCTCCCAGGAGAGAGCGACGGGGCCTGAGGCTGAGGCCGAGGCGGAAGGCAGACTGAGGCTGAGGCTGAAGCAGGCTGAGGCTGAGGCAGGCTGAGGCTGAGGCTGAGGCAGGCAGATGCTGAGGCAGGCTGAGGCTGAGGCTGAGGCTCATGCAGGCTGAGGCTGAGGCCGAGGCTGAAGGCAGATTGAGGCTGAGGCTGAGGCTGAAGCAGGCTGAGGCTGAGGCAGAGGCAGGCTAAGGCTGAGGCTGAGGCAGGTTGATGCTGAGGCAGGTTGAGGCTGAGGCTGAGGCTGAGGCAGCCTGAGGCTGAGGCTGAGGCCGAGGCTGGAGGTTGACTGAGGCTGGGGCTGAAGCAGGCTGAGGCTGAGGCTGAGGCAGGCTGAGGCTGAGGCTGAGGCAGGCTGATGCTGAGGCAGGCTAAGGGTGAGGCTGAGGCTCATGCAGGCTGAGGCTGAGGCAGGCGGAGGCTGAGGCCGAGGCTGAAGGCAGACTGAGGCTGAGGCTGAGGCTGAGGCTGAGGCTGAGGCTGAGGCTGAGGCAGGCTGAGGCTGAGGCTGAGGCAGGAGGCTGAGGCTGAAGGCAGACTCAGGCTGAGGCTGAGCAGCTGGCTGAGGCTGAGGCAGGAGGCTGAGGCTGAGGCTGAGGCTGAGGCTGAGGCTGAGGCTGAGGCTGAGGCAGGCTGAGGCTGAGGCCGAGGCTGAAGGCAGACTGAGGCTGAGGCTGAAGCAGGCTGAGGCTGAGGCTGAGGCAGGCTGAGGCTGAGGCTGAGGCAGGCTGAGCTGAGGCAGGCTGAGGCTGAGGCTGAGGCTGATGCAGGCTGAGGCTGAGGCAGGCTGAGGCTGAGGCCGAGGCTGAAGGCAGACTGAGGCTGAGGCTGAAGCAGGCTGAGGCTGAGGCTGAGGCAGGCTGAGGCTGAGGCTGAGGCAGGCTGATGCTGAGGCAGGCTGAGGCTGAGGCTGAGGCTGATGCAGGCTGAGGCTGAGGCAGGCTGAGGCTGAGGCCGAGGCTGAAGGCAGACTGAGGCTGAGGCTGAAGCAGGCTGAGGCTGAGGCTGAGGCAGGCTGAGGCTGAGGCTGAGGCTGAGGCTGAGGCAGGCTGATGCTGAGGCAGGCTGAGGCTGAGGCTGAGGCTGATGCAGGCTGAGGCTGAGGCAGGCTGAGGCTGAGGCCGAGGCTGAAGGCAGACTGAGGCTGAGGCTGAAGCAGGCTGAGGCTGAGGCTGAGGCTGGCTGAGGCTGAGGCTGAGGCAGGCTGATGCTGAGGCAGGCTGAGGCTGAGGCTGAGGCTGATGCAGGCTGAGGCTGAGGCAGGCTGAGGCTGAGGCCGAGGCTGAAGGCAGACTGAGGCTGAGGCTGAAGCAGGCTGAGGCTGAGGCTGAGGCAGGCTGAGGCTGAGGCAGGCTGAGGCTGAGGCTGAGGCAGGCTGAGGCTGAGGCTGTGACTGCGACTGCCGTTGCCGCTGCAAATGTCATCGGGACTGCGACTACGACTGCGAGAACAGCAGAATTCTGCAATTGGATTCTCATCTGAATCTTAAGGGGAATGCTTCCAGATATGCTCCTGCACATTGCTGTTCGGTTGCTTTGCCGGGATAATCCCATTTTGAAATTGTCGCGGCTCCTTGGGGGGCTCTACTCGGCAACGGACTGCGGCAGGACCAAAGAAGACGATGAGGCCAAGGAGTAGCAGGAGTAGCTGCTGGCAGCACTCGGCCCCATAGCGGGTGGGGCCCTAGCAGGCCCACGCACTTGCAGCAAGGTTGCCGAGGAGGTCAAGAGCGCAGCCAAGCTACTCACCAAAACAGCGAAGAAGGTGTACATCCACTGGGTGCATTACGCAACGGCAGACAGCGCGAAGATGGTCCACGCTCACGCCAAGGCGGCCGAGCGCAGCCACCTGGGGGACATTCTGGAGCACGAGGGCAAGGTGGCCACACACCAGCAGCAGTTGGTGGACCTGCGCAAGGAGGCGTGGCAGCGCAAGTGGACGAGAGACGCCCCGAAGGCCGAGCAGATCCAGGCAGCGTTGCAGAAGCTCCGAAAGGCAGCGAGGGCACAATAACACAACCAGGAGCCGCTCAACCAGCACATCACCGGCTCCATCATCCAGCACCGCAAGCGGCATGCAGGACGGGCCATGGGGGAGCAGGGGCTCACGGAGTCCGTGCAGTGCTTGCAGAATTGCGAGGCTCGAGCCGCTTGGCACTGGCAGTTCTACGTAGTTTTGGAGCTCCTGCTAGGAAAGAAGCCGGGGATCGGAGGAGAGCGCCCGATGGGCCATATGCCCATGCCCTACCGTATCTTGAGCGCCGCCAGGAGGCCCATCATTTCCACCTGGAGCAAAGCGGCCGCAGGTTTCTGGGACACGGCGGTGGCAGGACCATCGACCCTCCGCGCGGCGATGCACAGGCTGATGAGAGCAGTGGCGGCAGCGCAGATGGGCTTCCACGTGGCAGGGATCTTCGGCAACGCAGCCAACTTCTACGACAACATAGGCCTCGACCAGTTGCTCGAGAAGGCCAGCGACCTGCACTACCCTCGGCTGCCGTTGACCATGGCCATCCAGATGTACCTCGCCCCGAGGGCGGTCATGGCACACAGCCTCTTATCCGACACTTTTAAGCCAGCCAACAGCATGGTTGCTGGCTGCGGGCAAGCAGTGGACCTCACGCGACCGCTCCTCCATGGCATATCGGACGCGGCGCACAGGCACTGTATCTTCGCAGTCAACAGTACCTGGACGATCTAGCCTTGCAGCTAGAGGGCGCCAGGAAGCAGGTGATGGCCTGGGTCGAGCACGTCGCAAGACTGGTGCACCAAGGCTTCGCGAGGCTCTCCATCCCAATCTCCAGCAAGACGGCAGTGGTGGTCCCGGACCAGGACCTCCAGAAAAAGATCGCCAGCATACTAGACAGCCTGGGCACCCCGAACAAGCAGCCAGGGGCGGTCCGCGACTTCGGTGTGGACGCCGGGCTCGGCAAGCAGCTCAGACGCCCAACGCGCGCGGCTGGTCGGGCGACGGCCAGGCATCGCTTTGGCAAGCTCATAGACCCGGCCAAGACGGACGCCATGGGCGCGGCGAAGGCGTGCGCGGCAGGCGCCCACTGCCAGCAGGCCTGAGACCTCCCCGCGCACGGACGGCATCGCGCCAACGGAGGCGACCAAGGTCAGGGCCGCGGAGGCGGCTCTCCTCAGAGGAGGGCACAAAGCTGGGCGCTGCACGCCCACTATTCTCTTGATCCAGCGAGGCACGCAGGAAGCAGTCACCCGAGCCATCGTGGACCAAGCCAAGCAGTGCTGGCCCAATATGGTGGACCACCCTACGGAGCTCAATTGGCATCAGAGAGGGCGGCAAGAGCCTTATGCCGAGCTCCAGGAGCTGGACCCCAACAGGGGGTGGTACCGCGCCAGGGTCCGATGGCAGGCGTCATCGTGCAGCTGATGGGCTTGGGCTGGACGCCGCGCCAGCTGGACAGCTGGATCAGCCCGTCAGGAGACGAGTGGGCCTACAAGCCAGAAGACACCCCCCACTTCGGCGCGCTGCTGCAGGCGATTCAGACCAGCGCGCAGCGCCAGCTATGGCAACAGGCAGCAGCCCACCGACATGGAGAAGGCCTGCGTGAAGGAGGAGGCCTCCACCAGCTGCAGAGCCACCTGCGCGGGCGACGGCGCAAAGAGCAGCGCGCAGAGGCAGCGATGCTGGAAACGATCGCAGCGGCAGGAATCTGGGCGAGGGGGAGACGCAGGGCGGCCAACCTCACCCAAGCAGGGGAAGAGGTCTGCGCGCGATGTGGAGAAGCGGTGGGAACAGAAGAACATCGCTACTACGAATGCCTACAAATAACGAGATCGGCCACAGCAACAGCACGGAGCTGGCCGAGAAAGCCAAGGGCGCGCTCAACCAGCAACAGGACGCGAACTTCTGGCTCCAAGGCATCCCGCCGATGACATGGTCGACAAGGGTCGACCCGGACGAGGGCGCCGCCAAGGCAGCGCAAATCTCCTGCACCAGCGCGGAGGCACAAGCGGCAGCCCAGATGGAGCGCAAGGTCAGAGCCGACTATGTATTTACGGACGGCTCGGGAGGTGTAGGCATCACGGCCAAGGGCCCCAGGCTTCGAAGGTGCGGCTGGGCAGTCGTGGTCTTCAAGCTCGTCGAAGGAGGCCTACCGCAGGAGGCGGCAGCCTGGTGCGGAACCATCAGGGCGCCGCACGCGGTGCCCAGGGCAGAGCCCACAGCCATGAGCAAGGCCATCGGGTACACCACGGCGGCCACAGCCCAGGGCCTTAACATAGTCAGCGACTGCAAGTACGCCCTCGACGCGCTGAAGCAGATCCAAGACCCAGAGGACCTCGACTACAGGAGCGTGAACTACGGCATCTGGCTCATGACCTAGCAGCAGTTGCAGCACAGCACGGATGCCATCATGGGCCACCACATCCCGGGCCACATGATAGAGCACCCCACTGAGCTGGAAAGGTGGACGGGGCCGTCCTGGTGGGTGATCGGCAACGAGATGGCCGACAAATGTGCAGGCTGGGGCGCAGCGCATGGAGCGCTCGACCCAGCAACCATCACCAAGGAGCAGATGTGCGACCAGATCACGGCGGCCGCCCAGAACAGGTTGCTCGGGATCAACATGGCCATTGCGGTCGAGGACCCAAGCGAGGCCCACAAGCAGGGGAGTGCGAAGACGAGGAAGCCGCCGACAGCCCAAGAACAAGCAGCCCAGCTTGGACACACCGCGCGGAAGTTCTGCCGCATCGGGCCAGGCAAGGGGCAGAGTGCACGAGCATGGCTAGCAGAGAACGGTACGTGCCAAGGGAGAGAACGCAGCCACCTGAACTTTCACGGCAACCAGCGGCTCCATTTCAAGGCGGCCAAGATTGGCACCCAGGTGGTCCGCGACACGCACAAGACGCAGCTCACGCATGGCTGGCTGTCGCGTGAGAAGTGCGGCGCGGTCGTAAGCTGGCCAAGCCTTGCTTGCCGCCCGCGGCCGCAGACAGGATAACTATCGATGACGCGCAGAAGGGACGGCTGCCCAACAGAGGACGCAAGGTCACACCTGATGATGAGTACACCGAAAGAGCAGCTCCCGAGGCAACGAGCCCTAGAGCCCTAGCGCCTCCAGGCAGGGGATGGGCAGCGAGGAGGTGATAGACCTAGAAGCAGAGAGCTCCGAGCCCGACGTAGCCCAGCCAGAGCCTCAGGGACACACGCATCATCCCCAGTCAGTTGTCCAGGCCAGCTGGAGGCTCGTGGACCACATGGAAGGGTACGCGGAGCAGTGGATGAACATGGTGGACCAGGAGGTCTGGGGCGACATGGGCGACTGGATGGAGCACTGCATGCCCTACCTCATGTCGGTCACCAACGTAGGCGGCAGGACGGCCAGCGAAGCCCAGGCGAGGGCTGCGACGCCAAGGGAGTACCAGCAGCTGAAGGATTTCTGCGAGGACATCTGGAGGAGCACCCACAGAGCGCGCAGGAGGCTCATGGCGCAGATGCTCACCCTCCCGCACGGGACCAGGCAGCCAACAGCCAGGGTGCACATGGAAGCCTTCTTGGGGAGGAGGGACAACATCCTGGCGCACAGCATCCTAAGCAGAGATAGGAGGCCGCTTCCCAGCACCACGGACGGGTACCAGGCCTGGGCGCTAGAGAACCTGGACGACGTCTTATCAGTCCCAGACAGCGAAATTCCAGAACTGGACTGGGCAGAAATGACCAGCAGGACATGGACATCATCCCAGGGACAGAGCCGCTCAATGACGACGCGTCCATGGTCCAAGAGGGTGCCACGGTGCAATTGGCTCAGCTAGCCAAGTGGCCCATGTCAGACCCCATGAAGCATGTGCAGCAGGCGAAGGACGCGGGCATGCAGCACCCCAGGCTCCGCCAGCATCGAGGCGAAGGAGATCAGGACCCAGAGAGGGAGCTCGCGTGGCAAGAGCGGAACCGACTGGAGCAGCTCATTTAGTCTCCGGCAGGGTGTTGGACCCATGGGGCTGGGGAACAAGGATGGAGGACGTGGCGGGCAGCGAGCGTGACGTCCCCAGGGCCCTGCAGACGGGCCCCTACCGGCGCCTCTCCAGCGACGACCCAGGCCAGGCACGCCAACGCAGCCAGCGCACAGCGGCGGAGGAGATACGCCGCCTCGCATGGCTGAACAGCGGGGAGGTGCGGCGAGCCATCCAGCTGCAGGGCCCTGAGGAAGCGGCCAGACGCAGGAAGACTGCGGAGATGGTGCTCGGCGTGGACCAGCAGGTGGACCACGACGGCAGGGCCCCCCAGTGCGACGAGGGACCAGGCCACAGCGATCCCCAGCGCTGCGCGGGGTCAGGCCACAGCGGGCCCCAGCGCGGCGAAGGGTTAGGCCGCAGTGACATGGGCCAGCCCCACAGCTGCCAAGGAGGTAGCGCATAAGGAATGCAGGGCCCTCCCCCCCCCCGCCAGCAGATCGCAGCGCCAGGGGCAAAGACGAGCAAGACCCTTGCGAAGATGAGGAGGATTGCATCGGGCACCACCAGCAGGGGGGCCCCCACCAGGGCGCAGGTGAGCAGGGGCTTCTGACACCGTCGGCGGCGAGAGCGCAAGTCCCAGCCCCCAGGTGCACCCGCGAGGTCAACAGCGCGAGGGGCTGGGCTCAGTCGCCGGGTTTTTTGTTGGAGCCTGCCCCCTGGTGCACTCACGAGGTAAACAGCTCGTGGGGCGGGCCCGCCTCGACGAGAGCACCTGGAGTTGGTGCTGCCACAGCTCGTGATGATGGCGCAGAGGGGCGCCAGCAGATGCAGAGGGGCGCCGTTCCCTCACCAACAGGACGCAGCACAGAGGATTTCAAAAACCACGACCCCGGCGAAGACGAGGAGGTCTGCATCGGGCACTCCCGGCAGAGGGGCACCTACCAGGACGCAGGAGAAGTTAGCCTGGCGCCAGCAGAGGCACAAGCAGGAGCAACGGGACCCCAGCGCGGCGAGGGGCTGCGCGGCGAGGGGTTAGGCCGCAACGGTCACCAGCGCGGCGACAGGTCAGGCCATAGTGGGCCCCAGCGCGGCGAGGGGTTAGGCCGCGGCGGGCCCCGGCCCGGCGAGGGAGGGGTTAGGCCACGGCAGACCCCAGCGCGGCGAGGGGCTAGGCCGCACAGGACCCCAGCGCGGCGAGGGGTTAGACCGCAGAGATCCCCAGCGGGGCGAAAAATCAGGCCACAGCGAACCCCAGCGCGGCGAGGGGTTAGGCCGCAGCAGACCCCAGCACGGCGAGGGGTTAGGCCACAGCGGGCCCCAGCGCGGCGGCCGCAACGAACCCCAGCGCGGCGAGGGGATAGGCCACAACGGAACCCAGCGCGGAGAGAGTTTAGGCCGCAGAGGCACCCAGCGCGGCGAGGGGTTAGGCTACAGCGATCCCCAGCGCGGCGAGGGGTTAGGCCGCAGAAGGCCCCAGCGTGGCGAGGGGGTGCCGCCGCCAGAGCGCTTCCTGGAGGAGCGAAGGGCCGAGGAGCGGCGGCGGCCGTCCATCAGGCTGCTCCTCGAGCTCTGGGCCCAGGGCGAGCAGCAGCGACAGTGACGTTGCCGCCCGATGGGAGCTGCGACTCGCGGAAGTCCGCAGCGACGGGCGGCGAGGCAAAGAGAAAAGTGCGCATTGAGGCCGCGGGCCCACCCTCCCGCGGGCGCGCGCGGCGCGCGCCCGCCCATGGTGCCGAGACCCCTGGCACGCTTGCGCACGCCAAAGCACTCGTGTTAAACTCCTCCCCCTCCTCCTCCTCCTCCTCCTCCTCCTCCTCCTCCTCGTCCTCCTCCTCCTCCTCCTCCTCCTCCTCCTCCTCCTCCTCCTCAGGTAGCCCCACCGCTACCCTTCCCTCGTTGTCCGCCCTTGTCGCCACCGCGGGGATCGCTTCGAAATTCTGGCTAAAACGCACCCCATGGGGAACGGCGGTATCGGTAACTCTTGGTTTTCCCATCTGGGACCACGAAGCGTGGGAGGGGTGTGCTGAAATAGGTACAGCGACGCCACACGGGCACCGTGCAGGATGCGCTATACGGGTCTTGACATTTAAGTTTTAGTTCGAGCTCCTTATTGGGCCAAGAAGGGTGTCAAAGGTGCGCCGAAGTGGCGCAGGTGCGCCATGCGGGCCCTGGAATATTCTAGGCTTTCGACGGGGCTCCCTACGAGGTCACGAACATGGGGAGGGTGCGCCGAATTGGAGCGGTTGCACCATGCGGGCCTTGGCAGTATGGCCTTCGCTGGGGCTCCTGATGGGGCCACGAAGCGTTTGAGGGGTGCGCCGGAAGTGGGAGGCGGGTGCCCCATGCAGAGCCTGGCATTTCGGCTTCGGTTGGAGCTCCCAGTGAGGCCACGACTCGTGGTTGGAGACGGGTGCGCCGTGTGGACCCTGGCATTTGGGCCTTCGCTGGAGCTCCGCATGGGGGTGCGCCGAAACTTGGCATTCGTTGGAACTCCCAATGGTGCCGCTCAGCATGTGAGAGGTGCGCCGAATTGGGGTTGGCTGCGCCATTCGGACACTGGCATTTGGGCCTTCGACGGAGCTCCCCACGGGGCCACGAAACATGTGATGGGCCACGAATATTGCGAGGGTGCGCCGAATTTGCGGCGGGTGCGCCATGTGGTCTCTAGCATTTGGGGTTTCGCTGGGGGTTCCCCATGGGCCACGAAACGGGTGAGGGGTGCGCCGACGATGGGGGCGGGCACGCCATGCGGACCCTGGCAGTTGGGCCTTCGCTGGAGTTCAGTATGGGTCCACGAAGCGTGTCAGGGGTGCGCCGAGTTGGGGGCGGGTGCGCTATGCGGGCTTTGGCATGTGGGCCTTAGCTGGTGAGGGGTGTGCTGAAATCGGTGCGGCGACTTGTCTTGTCAACGCCACAGGATGATGTGGAATAAGCATACAAATAATGAAAGGGAACTGGGCACCAGGCCCCGGGGCTCGTTCCAGCAGGTCCAGTTTCACTTAGGTGCTCCCGACGGCGGATGGAGGAGGGGGAGGAGGGGAGCGAGACAACAACAGAAGAAGGAGGACGAGGATGACAAGCAGGAGCAGCACGACGACGACGACGACGACGACGACCCTTCCAGTTCTGGGGGACCGCGTGTGGCCGCGTCTTGCCATCGATCCGCGGTGCTGCCTCCCCCTTCCCCCAAGAGACAACAACCCACCCCCACGACCGCCAGGACAATTTGCACATGTTTTCCCGAACGCCCGTGGATGCAGTCGGGGCCTCGCCGGGGGCACAAGCAGCCCACGGCGAACGCCGAGCCGCGGGCTCGAGAGAGACGCCTTGAGCATGTCAGATGTGATGTGCTGGGTGCGTGGGTGGTCCGGATTGCCGACGAGGACGAACAGAAACAACACCTCGACGACGAGGACGACGACGACGACGACGACGACGACGACTACGACGACGACGACGACGACGACGACGACGACGACGACGGCGGCGGCGGCGGCGACGACGCCGACGGCGACGACGGCGACGACGACGGCGACGACGATCCTTCCAGTTCCGGGGCACCGCGCGCGGCAGCGCGGCGTGCCCTCGATCCGCGGTGCCGCCGCGCCCCCTCCCGGTGGCGCCCGCGCCCGCCCGCCCCGACGCAGGCGCGAGACATGGGGCGGCCGCAGGAGCCGCCCGTTGCCCGGGCGGTGGCGGTCCCGGGAGGACCTCGGTCTGCGCAGGCCGCCGCACCGCCCTCGGGGGGGAGCCGCGCGCCCCGCCTTCGCGCCCTCCTCGTCGTCGTCGTCGTCGTCGTCGTCGTCGTCGTCGTCGTCGTCGTCGTCGTCGTCGTCGTCGTCGTCGTTCTCTGCCCAGTCAGAGTGCAGGCGGAGCACACCCAGCGTCACGCCCGCGTCCCACGACGACCCTCCTCGCGCCCCCCCCCCGTCCCCTCGTCGGATACCCCCCCCCCCTGCCAGACAACCCCCCTGCCCCCCACCCCCCCCGATCAACAATTAAACAATATGAATACTATTCTCCTCTCTCCCTTGGTGGCGTACAGGAAATGGCCGGCCCCCCTCTGCGTACTGGTTCTTTACAAACAGGATTCCCGAGAAAAGATTTTCGCTGATTTTTGTTTCAAGATGCTGCTCTCGCTGAAGCGCTGGCTTCATTTTCGGGCTACCGCTCGTTCCGAATCGTGATCCCGCTGCAGCGCTGGCGTCATTTCCGCGCTTCCGCTCGTTCCGAATCGAGCTCCCGCTGCAGCGCTGGCGTCAGTATTTCGAGCGCCATGCCACGGCATGGTTTTCGATCCTTCAAATCGGCCCCGCAATCTAGAAAATGCCCCCCCCCGAAAAAACCATCGGAAGTGATTACACATTCGGTCTCGATTCGTTGATTTTTTGCGCCGCAGAGGCCCCCCCACTTCGCGGCGTCGCCACGCCATGCTATGCGTCCTCATTTCCGCGCGTCCGCGCTTGAGTTTTTATGGTTGATTTTCAAAATGTTGCTCTCGCTGAAGCGCTGCCCTCATTTTCGGGCGACCGCTCGTTCCGAATCGTGTTCCCGCTGCAGGGCTGGCCTCATTTCCGCGCTTCCGCTCGTTCCGAATCGTGCTCCCGCTGCAGCGTTGGCGTTATTATTTTCAGCGCCATGCCACGGCATTGTTTTCGGTCCTCCCAAATGGCCCGCAAATGTAGAAAATGCCCCCCCCGCCCCCCCCAAAGAAACCTTCTGGAAATGATTCCACATTCGGTGCCGATTCGTTGATTTTCTGCTCCGCAGAAGCCCCCCCCCCGATTTGGGGCGTCGCCACGCCGTGCTATGTCATGCTACGCGTGAACAGTCAACACCATGCTATGCCATGTAATGCTACGCCATGCTACGACGTCCGATCGTGCGAATAAGTGACGAGATCTGCGCCATGGGAAGGGGTGGGAGGGAAGGGGAAGGACGTCAGACATGACGCGAGCGCACCTAGCTTGCCCCCACCCCTCTCCCCTCCACCACTCCCCGAAGCCCGCTCGCCCCCCCCCCCTCCTGCGGGGCGCGCCGCCTCCCGAGCGAGGCCTTTCGCCGGAGTGGCCGCTGGTGCGGGCCCACTGGGGTCCCCCGATGGCCGGGCGTGGTGCGGCAGCAGCGCCTTGCGCGCTTGTGTTCGGTCCCCCCCCGCGGCCCCCGAAAAGCCCCGCACCGGAGGTCGCTCTTGTCCAGGGCCACTCTTGCGCGTAGTCGGCCAAGGGGGGCTGCCGCGATCCATCTCGCGCGCCCGTCGTCGTCGTCGTCGTCGCCGTCGTCTTCGTCGTGTCGTCGTCGTCGTCGTCGTCGTCGTCGTCGTCGTCGTCGTCGTCGTCGCCGTCGTCTTCGTCGTGTCGTCGTCGTCGTCGTCGTCGTCGTCGTCGTCGTCGTCGTCGTCGTCGCCGTCGTCGTCGTCGTCGTCGTCGTCGTCGTCGTCGTCGTCGTCGTCGTCGTCGTCGTCGTCGTCGTCGTCGTCGTCGTCGTCGTCGTCGCCTCTCCGTC